CTTGCACAAACTTGTCCTGTCATTGTCCTTCGACAATGTCGAATGGTATTGTCCTATTGTTAAACGCTAACCAAAATTAGTAAACAACATGGCGGACTCGACTCGCTGGAATGCCCGGGCGTCGATCATAAAAAGTGTGGATAGCTGCTCGAATTCGCCACTCTGTTTCAAATTTTGAGCATAAACGAATATTATACAGTACAAGGATTGCTGCCGCTGCCCCGCGCGTTAAGTATTCCCCCTGTTCGCTTCCGCGCGTGCCCGGACACTCCCTCGCGTTAAGTAGTAGGACCGTTGTGGACAAGGGAGGTCATCTTGGTTTCCTAATTACCTGTCAGGTAAACTGCATCTCTACCTTAAATGTTTGATTCAGTTTTATAGCTACGCTGTTGACTTTGTCAAGCGGAGCTTATCATTGTCTGTTGTTCGTGTCAACATTTTACTACTAGTGTGATTGCTTTGCTACATGGTGTATGTATATGTACCTTGGGTAGACCCCTCTTAAATTTGTTCATTGCATGACGACATGTTTGATTCTCTAATTTTGGTGAATATTTTTATCATTTTCTGTAAAAAAATGTTTTTTGTTGAAAACAGGTAGTCCACTTGCTTTGATATTACACATATAGGTGAATCTGCCTCAGATTTGTTCATTTTGGGATGAAATGTTCTATCTGAAATTGAGTGCTTTTCAGTTCCAAAGTTACATGAAACAGAAACTTTACATGACAGAATAACACTATATACAGCACTCATGTTTTTCAATACAGAGGGTCCAAAGTTGTTTTGTAGACCAAGCAATGAGACAGAGATTACAAAGAAATGGAAAGAAACAATTCCTCTCATTCAGGAGGTAAGATTGATTTTTATTATTTTTGTAACTTGTGCAGTTTGTCTTGTAATTTATGATGGCATTGCAAGTCAGCGTCGATGATACTAAAAGATGCTAGGCTGTACATCTGGTACAGTGTTTTTGTGAGTGTGCCCACCTGTAGCAGAAAGTCTCATGCTTTCCAAATTGTGCATTTCTAACTGGACTACAAACTTTTTCTATATTTGACCCACATACAATGCAAATGCATTCATGTGTCATCTATATGGCAGTTGAGATGCTCATTTCTGTCTGTATGCTACCAATCGCTTGCCTGTCAGTCACATTCATCATTAAAAAATGTAAATTTATGTTTGAAAGCTCTGCCCATCAAATCCTGTGATATGTAAATTACACCAAGTCCCTTGTTAGTTTCCATTTATAAACTCACATAATATTTGATTTTATTCAAAAAACACCAAAAACAAGAAACTGTATCCACCAGGAATTGAAATGTCTAAAATGTCTGACAATAACACACACACTGTTCATAGTGTCTGTATAGTAAAGTATGCACAAAAAGACAGTACTGGTACAACGGAAGTATCGACCAATGCTCATTATTATTATACATCTTTTCCTTCCAAGGATCATGGGAATGCCGAAATCCAAAAAGTTTAGAACAGAATCAGCGAACTTCTTTGTGTGGAGTTCGGTCAAAACCCTGGTGGCAGCCATTTTTTTTGTTTTTATTATTAGAGGA